TTTTCTACTTTAAAAAAAATCACTCTTAGTTAAATACAATCTAATGATTGCTTAAGGCATGAAACTGACAGACACTTTGCAGTGTTGCTTTCTATGTTCATACTATTTATATCTACAAATGCTTTATCCCTGATACTGAAAACTTATACTCATAAATATAACAAACTTTAAACAATATACAGAAAGAAAAACTTATTAATATTTTAGTTATAACTTATATATATAATAAAATTATTAAAGTATGTTATATCTATGCATGAAATCTTTAAGCATTAAACAGACAGTTGTTGCTGGGTGTCAACCTCAATGTCCCCTTTTATATATATATATATATATATATATATATATAGGAAGCATGGTGGAGTAGTGGCTTGGATTGAGGAATCAGAGAGCTGAGTTCAAATTCCAGTCAAATCGATTACATTCACTTATGTGCTAATACCCTTGGGAAAGGTATTAATCCTCTTCTTCTCCCTCCAGCTATGGGTAAATAGCAGGACAGACTCGGTTCTATAGCCTTGGATGACAACTGGTCTAGGAGAAGGAAACTGAATTCAAAACCTGTGGAGGGCTGTTTAGGGACCTTGTGGCAATGTAGTGTACGAGGTCTCTGTATTTGTCCCTTCAAAAAGTGTGGTTGGTTCTGCACAAAGCCTTTAACACTATAATAAAATCATATGTGCTGGTGTTTGAGCTGTTGGTTCCTAGAAACTTTTCCCACTTTACTCCTAGAGCTTGTAGCCCAACATATACTATTTTGGAATCAGGCCATCTCCGTGAGCAAATTAAAAACATTCTGGAACAGATCCAGACCCACAATCCCAAAATTTTGAATTCCGATGTTTCAGCAATTCAGGATTCTTTTTGGCAAATTTTTTATGTGATTTTTTTGCATAAAATTTTTTGTACAATAATAGTTTTTATAACTTGGAAATAGATTTGGGAATAATCGAAATAAATTGTGAAATCCAGTGAAAGTCACCCATAAAATAAAAATAATTGTTTCTATGGTAAGTAAGGACCTACATACATCAAATTGTCTTTAAATTAAGTGGCAGCAGAAGAATTATCATTGAGTTTTTAAAAGGTAAGCTTAAATATTAATGCAATATTTAAATGCAGCGATTAATTTCTGTAGTTTATTGTTGCCTATCACATTTACTCCTCTCTACCTATTGTGATGAAAGCTCACTCACGAGCCCTCCGCAAATGTTAGCTTTAAAGCTGGCTTAGAGGGTGGCTTTTAAGCTAGCTATATATATATATATATTAGGAAATGAATAATAAATAGAAAAATTCTATGTAATGCATTTTCATCCTCTAGAAGGACTTCTTCAGATATATTCTCCCATATATATATATATATATATATATATATATATATATATATAACTACTGTCTATTCACAATTCTACAGAAGGAAACTGTGTCTGCTATAAGCCTTTTAATCATTCTGATAAAAAAGCAGTAACAGAGAAGGAAAAAAATAATAGAAAAAGAAAAAATAAATAAATGAATCAAAGTGAAACATTTTTGAAAGGTGCAAACACAGGAGGAGAAAGTGAAGCCAAAAGGCAAACAGAAGATTAAATTCATCTGTTTCTGAAAAGAGGAAAGACAAAGTGAGAGGATGTTGTCTTTTAATGATTAGAGAGGGAAGGATTGAGGTATAGGATCAAATTTCTTTTTAGTTATTTTTTTCTTCTTGTATTCATTTTTCTTGGTTCAATCAAAACCATTAACCATGATTAATTCTACTCAAATTTTAGAATGTTTGTTTTCCACATTGCAATTAAAAAAAGAAATAACAGCAAGTTTTAAAACCATACAATGTGTTGTTTGTTCAGAAGATGACAAAAAGTTTTACTTTAGATGAAAAAAAAAAGTAGCTTCTCTACTTAATCTGATATTTTTTAATGGTCTTTCAAAGTGAATATTCTGTTCATTTATAGGCTTGTAAAATTCTCATGAATTTTAAACAGATATCAGCATCTAACAGATCAAGTAAAATAAAATATCTGAATTTATATGGTTGTGTGTGTGTGTGTTAGGAAAATCAATGACAAAGGGGGAAAAGTTTTTGATTATAACTTCATTAGACTGAAGTTATGTTTACTGTTATACAGTACCTATGGATGATAATGGGTATGTCCCAATCCGACACCTCATGCTTCCCTCTACTTTTAAAAAAGGCAAATCCTGTGAAAAATGGAATAATATTGCCATATTTGGTGGGAGCTGCCCAGTCCACACTTCCAGCCTTGATGCAATTCAAAAGTGTCTCCAAATCCTAGTTGGAGAAAAATTATTTTCCACCCTACAACCTCTCTCTCACTGATGGTATGTGGTGAGTCTCTCACTGCACTATCACTACTACTATGGAAAGTGCGAGAAAACATTCCTTGATTCTGCCATGTCTAACTTTCACGGCTAGAACCTGCCATGTGACTTATATTGTAGCAAACCACCCACATTCCCACTGTATCCCACCAGTGAGAAGTCAATTCCACTTGAACAGCTTCTTCCCATGAACCATTGCTGTGGAATTGACACCCAAAGGGATGTTTACTCGATCAATCTTAACCTGTTCAAGTCTAGAGTTAACTGTTATTTTCCTCTCCTATCCATATAACTTCCCTTGTAACATAACTCTCTACTGCAAATGAACCCTATTGTAAATATATATATATATATATATATATATATATATATATATATATATATGGAATCTCTGTTCATGAATTTAATGGACAGAGCAATGTGCATATCACTCAGTATAACTCCCATTCTAGAGGCAAAATCCAGCAGATATACTCCAGATGAGTCAAGAGTGGAGTTGGAAAAGAATTTACAAGCAAAGCAGTCTGCTTTATCTGCAGTATATGTCAATACTTCAAATTAATTGAAAAGAGGAGGGACTGAGGATTTGCAATTGTTCAGAACTGCTCTATATATATATATATATATATATATATATATATATATTATTCAGTTCATGAATTTAATTCATTCCTGATGGCTGTTCACAACCCGAAATTAAAGAAAGTTAAAAATATTTAGTGCTCAGTTTATAACTATGTAATGTTTATATCCAGGTAACATATTGTTCAGAATACTGCTATATATATATATATATATATATATATATATATATATATATATATATATATATATATATATTCATGAATTTAATTCTTTCCTAATGGCTGTTCACAACCCAAAATTAAAGAAAGTTAAAAATATTTAGTGCTCAGTTTATAACTCTGTAATGTTTATATCCAGGTAACATATTTTCATATATGAATATATGAAAATCTTTAACATCAAATTGAAATTGCATCTAATTTTATCATAGAGTATGATTGATTAATTTTCTATGATTTATCAACTCTTTGCAGGTTATTTAAAGCCAGGAAATACTTTTAAATTGTAAGAATTTTTTTTTTAGAGATAATAATTTGATACAAGTTTTACAAATTAACCCATACTTAAGGCAGAAGAAGTGGCTTCATACCTTTCCCATGGGTATTTGGAGTTGAGTGAGTATAACAAATCCAACTGAAATTAGTACTCAGTCCTCCAATTAAGAATTCCAAGACATTATCCATTACATCACCTGCACTTTCAAAATTACAGCACTTGGTATTCCCAAATTGTAACCCATGTAGGTACTGACCAGGGTCGACAATCCTTAACTTTAGTGATGGTATGGGAACCAGTTTCAACATGCAGTGGCCATAAACCTTATGATAGACTAGTAATAACTGGTATTGTGTGGGCCAAGTATCTAACCTTTGCTCTCATATATACATTGTTGTTTCATTGTTTGAAAGATCTGTGTATACCAGAGTAGGGGTCTCATTAATTTTATGCTTATGTTTGCTATAATGGCTGGTTGCATGTATCCAAGTATTCCAGCTCAGGCATATCTGTGTTTGTTCAACACCTACAAAGCCTATCATACTGCAACTATGCTGAGGAGACATTAGTTACAATTTCTGCATGAGAGCGCATTATTTGGTGTGAGCAACAGTCTAAACAAGGCCAGTACATTCAAACACTCAGTCATGATGACTTGTGACTTTGTGCTAGAACAATCATTGATATCTCCCCAAATAGTTCCATCTTCTTAATTTCACTTACAAGGCTTGAGACAACATGTGGTATGGTTTTCAGGCATTTTTCAAAGTTGCTGCATGATGAGATCACCTCCCCAGGCTGATAACATCAAGAAGTCAACTTCCTGACAAATCAACTATGGTAAGGCTTGAACCTGGGTTTTATGATAGAAAAGCGAACATTCTAACTACTTGACCATATATGATGTTTGCTATAGAGTAACAGATAATGAACAAAGTGAAATTGGATTTTATATAGTTGAATCTTTCCTTCACTTGAAACTCCTAGGTGACCAAGATGTCAAGCTAGTAACCAATCAACTCAGGTAGTAAAACTGTCTATGCAGATAATAGACATGAGTTGCTAAGGCTAATAAAGAAGATATTTCTGCTTACCATGGTAAATAAGTCTTGAGTCAGGAAGTGTCAGTCTGTCAATGCTTGCATTGGTTGAAAGGTCAGTTATGATGGAGAACAAACTGCTGAGGTTGAAATCTGAAAAAAAAAAAATGAAACATCGTAAAATCTTTTATATTTCTCTAATACTTGTCAAAATGCTCTTTGAATATTGAATATTGAATATAAGAGAACCCAGGACTTAGCTAAACAATGATTAACTACCCCTGATTATGCCATTCTTCTTCTGCATACCATGTCTCTTCAGAATGTTGGCAATCATGGCTCTGCATCCACAATTCATACCGTTCCCAGTGGTATGTGCATGGATTCATACCATTCCCAGTGGTATGTGCATGGATTCATACCTTTCCCAGTGGTATGTGCACGCAAGTGAATATAACGATCCCAATGGGAATAGGAATTCAGCTGTCCGATTAACAATTGCAAGCCATTATTTATTACACCACACACACACATCCAAACTTACAGCACCAGGTATTCCCATGTGGTCACCCATCTAGGCACTGACAAGGCTCGATGTTGCTTAACTGGTGATCATACAGGAACCAATGTTTCAACATGATATGGCCATAGGTTACATACCTAATTGGTTAAAATCAGGCAACTTGCAAACCTAAGGTACTGAATGGGATATTTACAGCAGCCCATCTTCTATTCATTATTGGCATAACATGTCTATGTCAACATCTTCAATCAATTAAAGTTAGAAGCCATGAGAGCCATGGCTGGTGTAGCATCAGAGCATATATTATTATTATTATCATGATGATGATGAAGCCTGATTGTACTTTGGTGCTTCTTTCATGAAAGTGATGACCATAAATTTTTATATTTCTTAATGGAATTAAATATGGAATTTCCAGAGTATTTAAATATAATATATTGATTCTTTTGCACTTAACTTCCTCTATCCTAATTTCAATAATTAATATATTGTTGAAGTTCAATAGGATGGATACAACCAAATTAGCACTTGGCATAATGAACATGAAAAGATTACATTGTATAATATTTTTCGAAGGAGTCAAGCAAAAGGGTAATGTAATGTGGGAAAATTAAATAAAATGATAATGAAAAATAAAAAAAGAAAAGTAAATATATTTTCCCATGATACTATTAATAAAGACACCAGAAATTTTATTGCCCAACTTAGCTTCATCAAACACCCATTAAGTGGTGCTGTTTATGTCTATAAAAAGACAGATTTCTCTTCCTCTTTTCCTTTCTCTTGCTCCAAGTTGTAGTAGGATACAGACAAGGATGTCCCCACTGGGGTGCATTCATTTCCAAGGTTGATTGATGATTGAACTCACTTTTCCACTTTCCAGCATATAGCATTCGTACGTGTCTTCCAAAACCTCCATCCATGAAGTAAATCAATCTTTGCTTTGGTCGTTCTAACTCAGCACAAGACTGATTTGAGCTCAACCATCTTAACAATGCTTATCATGATATGCCTGAAATTACTTCTGAACCAGAAACTCTCTTCCACTTTCTCATAGCATTTGCACGTGTTTTGCTGAAACTCAACTGATGAAGTAAGATAAGTTTTACTTTTGTTGTTCCAACTCAGTGCAAGGCTGACTTAAGCTCGACCATTATAACTACTGATGAAGTACAACCTTTCTTTGGTTGTTCGAACTCAGCACAAAGGTGACTTGAGCTTGACCATTATAACATTGCTTATCCTTACTTATCCTAACTTCTGGACTAGAAAAAGGAGATGGACATACCCAAGAAACATTGAGAACTTTGTTTCCCAATGTTTTTTACTATGAAAAAAAGAATAGTTTTTAGTATAAACACAAGTTTTCTATACTTCATTAATTGTTTACATGTGAACACATACACCTACAATACACCAACATGCAACCTTTGACTTCCATAATCTTTATAAGGAAACTTTCAGCATTCATGGGCCAAGCAGCTACTTTTGACTGAAATTTACAAAATCTTTCTATTAAAACAATTTTTCAGGAAAGTACTTGCAATTGCATACACTTATCATGTATTATGATATGTATATTAGACTTCATGTATTTTTACCCCAGTATCACTTTGTTGGAATGTTACTCACTCACTCAATAATAATAATAATAATAAAATATTACATTAAAAATTTTCAACAGACTGCTTATAATTTTACTTAATTCACCCTCAGTAAAAGGAAAAAATGAGAAATCCCAAATTATACAATCAGAGAAGCAAAATTGAAGGTATGTATGAGGGGGTAGCTGAAAAGTTCTCAGTGTGACTAAGAAACTTTAAAAAAAAGAGAATAAATAAATCAAGATAACAGCAAATTGACTTCAAGTTGTCTGTGTTAATATACTTGTCCTTGTTGAACAATAGAGATTGGAAAATGATAAATCAAAAAATTGAATCAATTTTCAAAATATTATTTGAAATTAATTATTATCATTATTCCATACCTTGTTTACACTGAAATCCAAAACCATATTGAGATAGTGGAACATACCTTCCAAAAGTTAAGTAAAGTATTAAGAAAGAAGAAAAAATTCATTAGATACATAGAAAAAAGTACTGAACTATTACATAATATTAGTCCTTCTATATGGTAGTGAATGCTGGACAATCTCCTCACAGATGAAGTGATTTGAAATGTGGTTCTACTGAAAAATGCTAAGAATACCATGAGTCAAACATGTGAGCAATGATAAAATTTAAGAGAAAATGGAAATAAAAAGGACACATACTTAACATCAAGAAGAGATGGTTGAAATTTCTAGGCACATAATGAGGAAAGGTTTGGAAATTTTGATGCTCAAGGGACAGAGGAAAACAATGCATAAGCTACTAAGTGAGCATGAGTAAATGGATGCAGAGCAATATTTAACAAAAACACAAAATTTATTTAGAGCTACAAAGAGGAAGAAATTGTGGCAAGCCATGATTGCCAATGTCCATTATACCAAGTCAGACTAATTGTCAAAAAGGCAGGTTTGCAGTAAAAAAACTATTGGTACATCTTTTATTTCTTACCAGTTCTATTTTTTCTTGCTCAGCAATCAGTCTAAATTATAAACAAATAGTAATAGTAATATTAGTTGTTTTTGTAGAGTGAGTAGCCATGCTGACTATTGCCTAATAAAAAAATGACAAAATTTATTAAGAGCTACAAAGGACAGGAAATTGTGGAAAGCCATGATTGACAATGTCCTGAAGACATGCTGCACATAGAAAAAGAATTTATTTAGATTAATATTCACATCGTGTATGATTTTCTAAGTAAATGTGAACTTCAATTCTTATGCAAAACTTCGATAATCCACTTCTACCAGACTGAGAAAAAGCTGGTGTTCTATAGCTCTCTCAGTCCCAGACTCATGCTGACTTATTAGAATGAACTTTCTCAATAGCCAATTGTGGAAGGGGACATAACTCTTGGTATTTACTGCACCACATGCAACCAATTCTGGGTCTTTTGTCAGCTTGATCTTATTCTCTATTTTGTTGACTAAAAAAGATAAAAAATATCAGTCCTAACAAATTATGGAATGATAATAAGTACTTCTCTTTGAATTTTAAACAATATTTTGAGAACTGTTTCACTTCGAACTTTCATCAGTGCCTTCATTGTGTTAGGGCTATTTTTTGCACAACCCCACAAACTGTTACAAAACCAAAACATTAACCTAAAAACTCGGGTAATGTTCTTAAATAGCCTTGCCAGATCAACACTTACATATGGAGTCAAACTCATTCAGAAATATCTAAACTATCAGCTGTATACAACCACTTTCTCAGACCAATAGTTCAAAATAACTGATTGAATGAAACTTGTAGGTTTCAGCAAGTATCATCCTCTTTCAAACTTTATAGACTGAATCACAAAGAACTGTACTACATTGCTTAAAGAATTTCAACAATGAAAATAGAACATTTAACTCTAAGAGAAAGTAATGATATAATGAAAATGTTGATGTTCTCCACTACTTTAAGCAAAAGATTAGGAAGGAAACTGCCATCAATAATTGTTTGTTTGATAAACGGCATATCAACTCTTTATAGGTCATTTAGTTGTTACATTGTAGGATACTGCTTATAATGACCACTTCTTCTTCATATGTCACTGGGTTGCTACTTATGACTTGCTCAATGTTGTAAGCAACAGACGATCTCTTTCTTTACACTGTATGGGTAGTGGGAGTTGAAGCTGAGGTATTGTCTGGTGAATGTAGGCTTGCGGTATACGAATGTCTTGAACCCATGCTCTGTTTGAGATATTAGCACATTCTGGAAGGTGAGTTTGTTGTTGCTTTCCCCTCTCCATTGTGAACTATATCAATCTTATTGAGATCACATGGTCCATTAGTAGCTGGACCTCTTCCTGGTGTGGACAGAGTATGAAGGTGTCATCTATGCATCTCAGTCATAGGGTTGACTTTAATGATGTAGATTCTAATGCCATTTCCTCAAAGTATTCCATATATAGGTTTGCCATTGTTGGTGATAATGGCAAGCCCATTGCTAAACCCTATCCTGTCGATATATGTCTGATCCCATTCCAAAGTGTGCTGTTTGCAAACAGAAAGTCAGCATCTCCATCAAGTTATCTATTGGTATACTGGTCTGTTCTCCTAAGGATGAGTCCGAGGCCAGTCTTCCTCCTCTGTGGGTACCTTGGTGACCAGGCTCACCATCTGGTTGGATTGGATAGGAGCATCTCTGATTATTTCTACAAAGTGAGTAGAGTTCTGGACATATGATGTTGACGTTCCTATTAATTGGCTGATTATACCTACTAGGAAGCAACTCAGAGAGTGGCACATAGATCCTTGGCAGTTAACAATCAACCTGAGTGGAATTTTTGGGAGATCATATATGTGAGGTATTTTGTTGTAATACTGTGACAACTGCTTGTATGTCTTAGGTGCATACAATGGCCAAAATATTTTGAATATGGCAATGAAGATGAGGATAACAGACTGAATAATGTAAATAACCATAATACCTCATCTCAGATATAGACAGATATTTTCATAGAGTTTTACAAAGTTAATAGCAACAGAAAATGTTCATGAATTTTTAAACTTGAATACATGTAGAGTAATTTGTTTTGATTCATAACTAATTATTAAATAAATAAACTGAAGCAGACTTCAATAAACAAAAAGTTTAATAGAATGTCAGGGTATTGTAATTCAATAAACAAAATTCTATAAATAAAAAAACAAGAAAAAGTAAAAGATCCCTCCCAACACCGGCAAAATGCTGAGTTGAGATCCCCTGCTCTACAACACACTTCCACTAAGCAGCTATGCATCACAACCTGGTTACAACTAAGACTTTGTTGGAATTATTTTACACAAGGAACGTCATTTTAAACAGTGAATATTATCAGTCCTTTCATAAAACTTTATCCACAGTCTTAAAATTTTTCATTCTTTCTATCTATTTTAGTCATGTTGAATAAATTGTTTTTTTTTTTATTATTTTACTATCAGTGACTTCAGAACATTTATATTTTTTTTAAAGAGAGAACTGCAAAATGAGACATACCTCTTATCTTAATTGATAAATTTTATCAACAAGAAACCTCATGAAGCAC